GAGGTTGACAAGCTGCTTGACGCGGGGTTTGTAAGAGATGTGTACTACCCTGACTGGTTATTGAATGTGGTTGTTGTGCAGAAGAAAAATGGGAAATGGCGCGTATGCATTAATTTTACCAATTTAAACAAAGCCTGTCCGAAGGATAGCTTCCCGCTGCTAAAGATTGATCAGATGTTGGATGCAACTACTGGATATGAATGCTTGGCCTTTTTAGATGCTTATTTAGGTTATAATCAGATCCCCATGGACGCCACTGATGAAGAAAAAACTTCTTTCGTTACCGAACGCGGGACGTATTGCTACAAAGTCATGCCATTCGGACTGAAGAACGCCGGAGCAACTTACCAAAGACTTATTAGCAAAATTTTTAAGGAACAAATAGGGAAGACAGTGGAAGCTTACATTGATGACATGGTGGTAAAAAGTAAGAAGAAAGCTGATCATGTGAAGCATCTGCGAGACGTGTTTGATGTGTTGAGGCGATATGGAATGAAGCTCAATCTGACCAAGTGCTTATTCGGTGTAAGTTCAGGCCAATTCCTAGGGCACGTTGTTAATCTCAGAGGCATCGAGGCAAGCCCTGCCTAAGCAGATGCTCTGACTAAGAATGCCGAGCCGACGACAGTCAAAGAAGTGCAAACACTTACGGGACGGATTGCTGCACTGAGCCGGTTTATTTCCAAACTGTCAAATCGATGCAAACCATTTTTTGACACAATACAAAGCCACGGCAGACAGGTTTGGGGGGATGAACAGCGCCTAGTGTTAACTGCTCTAAAAAAGTATATGCAGAACCTTCTGGTACTGTCAGCTCCAGAATCGGGCGAAAAGCTGTTTTTATATCTCGGAGTATCCAGCATCGCGACAAGTGGCGTTCTGATCCGCTATGCAGAAGGGAAGCAATATCCAGTGTTCTATGTTAGCAAAACAATGACTGAGGCCAAAAAATGTTATTCAAAGGCAGAGCGGGTGATACTCTCGCTAGTGCATGCGAAAAGAAAGCTCAAGCATTATTTTGAATCCCATCCTATCATCGTTCTAACCACTTTCCCTATCAGAATAATCCTGCACAAACCAGATCTCTCAGGAAGAATGACAAAGTGGGCCATAGAGTTAAGCTCATTTGATATCACATACGAACCTAGAACAGCAGTCAAAGGGCAAGCGGTGGCAGATTTTTTACTAGAATGTGATTTAGAGGACGTGGAGGAGGATCTTCGTGGTTGCTTATGGAAACTCTTCGTTGATGGATCCTCAAATCAAATGGGTGCAGGCATTGGGATCAAACTGCAGACGCCAGAAGGTACAGCCTTAAGCCAAGCGCTTCGGCTTGAATTCGGAGCCACGAACAATGAGGTAGAGTATGAAGCGTTGCTGGCAGGAATTAAGCTTGCCAAGGAGCTTAAGGTCAGGAATTTGAATATTTTCAGTGACTCACAGTTAATTGTTCGGCAGGTGAGGGGTGAGTATGAAACCAAGGATGAAACGATGGAAGCATATCGTTCTGCTATTGTGCGGGAGGCCAAGAACTTTGAAAAAATTGAATTCATTCAAATTCTAAGGGAGTATAACAAAGATGCCGACCGGCTAGCATGTAGTGCCTCGGGTTCTGGAGAAACATTGGCAAGGGTGATTCCAGTGGGAATATTAAACCAGCCATCCATTTTCAAAGAACCTTCAGGCTCGGATCCTTAGCAAGTGAATGTTATTCCATATGAGCCAAGTTGGATTGATCCGATCATAACTTACATCCAAGATGGTACTCTGCCTGAGCAAAGAGATGAGACTAGGAAAATTAAAGCAAATACTGCGAAGTACGCCGTATTGCATAACCAGTTGTACAGAAGATCTTTTTCCGGACCGTACTTAAAATGTGTTACCCCCACAGAGGCTCGGCAAATACTACGAGCTATTCATGAAGGTGTATGTGGAAACCACTCAGGGGGGAGATCTTTAGCGCACAAAGCAATGGCGCAAGGGTTCTTCTGGCCGAACATGTCACGAGACTCGGAAGAATTGTCCAGAAGGTGCGATAAGTGCCAAAGGTTCGGACCACTGATTCACCAACCACCTGAAGACTTGCATGTAATGGCCACACCATGGCCTTTTGTACAGTGGGGGATGGATGTAGTTGGTCCTCTACCAACTGCCAGAGCTCAGAACAAGTATGTGCTACTGGCTACAGATTACTTTACTAAGCGGGTGGAAGCAGAGCCATATCCGAGCGTTACTCAAACTCATGTGAGACGATTCATTTGGAGTAATATTATTGGCCGGTTTGGTGTTCCGAGGTCAATCATCATGGATAATGGGACCAACCTTGACAGTAAGCAAGTAAGAAAGCTGTTGGAGGAATATGGAATTAATCAAAAGCTGGCGGCAGTAAGTCACCCACAGGCCAATGGACAGGCGGAAATTACAAATAGAACAATCTTTACTTGTATCAAGAAGAAGCTAGAAGAAAAGAAAGGAAGGTGGTTAAATGAACTGCTGAACGTCCTATGGGCCTATAGAATGACCCCAAGACGACCGACCGGAGAAAGCCCATTCACCATGGCGTATGGTACCGAGGCAGTTATACCAGTCGAACACTTAGTTCTGACTGTTCGAAGCTTGGCATGGAACCGTGAGCATAATAACAGTATGTTAAGGTTTAACCTCGATTTGCTGGAAGAAAAAAGAGATGCAGCAGCGGTAAGGCTTGCATCCCACCAGCAGACGCTTGCGAACAACCATAACAAGAAAGTAAAGCATAGAGACTTTAGACCAGGTGATCTGGTTCTGAAAAAGAAGGTGGGGATAGTCAAAAAGATGATGCCACCATGCGAAGGCCCATACAGAATTGTAGAAGCCATAGGAAAGGGGGCATATACCTTAAAAACGATGGCCAGAAGGCTGGTTAACAAGCCTTGGAATGCTACTTCTCTGAAGAGGTATTATCAATAAAAGGTTGAGATTCAATACTGAATTCTGTTCATTTTCAATTGAACACAGTCGAATGTACAAGTTTCTGAGATTTGTAAAGATTATACTCCTCTTTAAAAGGTTGAGCAAAGTAAGTGGCAGTTGGCACTATGAGCCGAACACCAAACACTTGCTAAGAAAAAAAAGAGAGGGCCAAGTGGCAAGTGGCATTCTAGCCGAGCACCAGGCGCCTGAGCAAAGTAAGTGGCAGCTGGCACTATGAGCCGAACGCCAAACACTTGCTAAGAAAAAAAAAAAAAAAGAGAGGGCCAAGTGGCAAGTGGCATTCTAGCCGAGCGCCATGCGCATGAGCAAAGTAAGTGGCAGTTGGCACTATGAGCCGAACGCCAAACACTTGCTAAGGAAAAAAAAAAAAAAAAAGAGGGCCAAGTGGGAAGTGGCATTCTAGCTGAGCGCCAGGCGCCTGAGCAAAGTAAATGGCAGCTGGCACTATGAGCCGAACGCCAAACACTTGCTTTAAAAAAAAAAAAAAAGAGAGGGCCAAGTGGCAAGTGGCATTCTAGCCGAGCGCCAGGTGCCTGAGCAAAGTAAGTGGCAGCTGGCACTATGAGCCGAACGCCAAACACTTGTAAGAAAAAAAAAAAAAAAAGGGCCAAGTGGCAAGTGGCATTCTAGCCGAGTGCCAGGCGCCTGAGCAAAGTAAGTGGCAGCTGGCACTATGAGCCGAACGCCAAACACCTGCTAAGAAATAAAAAGCCAAGTGGCAAGTGGCATTTTAGCCGAACGCCAGGCACCTACGCAAAGAAAGTGGCAGCTGGCACTATGAGCCGAACGCCAGGCACTTGCTAAGAAATAAAAAGAGTTTACATAAAGAACTTGATCAGAAGTCGGCCATCTCATTAATAAAGTTCAAAGAGTTACAAAAAAGATGAGGTGTAAAGATGGCGAATATACAAAAGTCAGTACAAAAAAAAAAAAAAAGAGTTATAACTAAGAGGCATTTGCCTCGTCAGCCTCTTGATGATGTTGGGCTGTCTCCTCATTATTGTTGGTATCACCATCCTCACGAGATGGAGAGTCGAGGTGAATGACAGAATCGTTCTGTTGAGTCCTACCCTCAATAGCGTTGGAAGAATCATTCTGCTGAGGGTTATCTTCAGTAGTAATAACAGATGGAGTCAAGGTGGACAGAGGAAGAATGTCCAAAGTCAGAGCGGCAGAAGGAGTACGAGTGATCCGAGAAGAGGCAATCTCTTGGCATTCATCAAATATGCCCTCAGCAGTGGTGGAGTCTAGATCGGCATAAACACCAGAAGGGTCAATATCCAGTTCCTTGTCAACATTATCAGGGGTAGAACCGGTCTGACCCTCATCCGGAACACGATCGGCGTAACCCTCTCGGAACCCCTGAGCATATCTGAGGGCTCCAACTCTGGAAAACTGAGCATGCAGAGCTAGCATACCACCGTTTACCCTACTGATGGTATCAAGTAAAGCATTGCGCTCGTCCAAGGCCCTTTTCTCAAAGGCCATCCGAGCGGATTGCTCATCACTCAGAAGGCGTAGCAGTTCTTCCTTTTCAGCCTTAAGGGATTCGCGCTCGGTATGCCAAACACTCTTTTCGAGCTGCAATGCATTCCTCTCATCCTGAAGAGAGTCAGTCTCCTTCCTTAGCGAATCCCTTTCCTTTTCAATCTTACCAAGCTGAACCATCAACCCGGTCTTCTGAGCAGCCAAATCATCGTTCTCCTTGTTCGCTGCATTAAGGCTGTCAGAAAGCGCACGGACCTTAGCATTCACATGCTCAACTTGTTTCTGCATAGCCATCATCCCGTACAGGGTCTATAGAGATATGCAGGACAACTGGTTAAGCCGAGCAGATGGTTAGAAAAAATAAGTGTAAAGACTATGTAAAGACTTATTGACTAAGGGGCAGAAGTTACCTCCATGGCGGATAAGGGAAATCGGCTGAACAGTTCCCTCTAAGACAGACCTTTGGCTACCTCAATGTCCTTGGGAGTCCACATGCTCCTGTAGTAAGCCATTGTGGTCTGACCATCTTTGAACATGGTTTAAGTCGGTTTAACAGATGATCCGTCTGTTCGAATGAAGTGAGGGTTCCATGGCGCCATTCCTGAAGCGGAGGCATGCCTAGAAGGGGTAGGGGGCCTAGTCTGAGGAGGTCTTGCTAGGGATATCACATTCGGCCCAGAGGGCCTAACCCTCTGAGACAAAGGAACATCATCGATGCTGAGGGCACTATTAGGTTGGTGCCTTTTTCCTCTTGCCTTTTCCCGTGCGGAAGCATTAGTAGAACCAGAAGGATTGCTGACAGAAGGGGTAACGTTCGGACTAGCGGTCGCTGTGTTAGCGACCGGGTTAGTAGCCGTCACGGATGGATCGGTGGAAGGAGTGGTATCAGAAAGGGTAACAGAGGAAGATGCTGAAGCTGGTGAAGAATTTGATGCAGGGGTGATAGCAGGCCTGGGGGCAGTTTTCTTCCTGCCAAAGGAAGGGATCTGGAGTTGGCTCATTGTCTTGCCGAGGACTAAGATATCGAGGAGATTGTCTGAGGTGAGGAGGTTCGAGCAGGAGGGAATGTTGGTCAGAACGTACTGCTTCAGGTAGTTATCCCTATCCTTGCACACACCGTAGCTCAAATCATCACAAGAAATGCCTAAGGAATGGCACAAGAAAGTACAAAAACGAGGAATGCAAATCTCGCAAGGACAGTCACTCTTATGGTTTTTCTATTTCTTGTAAAAAGAGATAGAGCACTCTCCAAAAGTGCTCGGGATAGGGAAATCCTCCGTAGCTGGAGAGAACCAGGCTCCCCTAACCCCGATTATATTTTTCCTCCAACCCTTCTCGGATTTGATTTTATCCGTGTAGATGGACCTCTTCTCAATGGGGAAAAAGTGATAAAACGGTTCATCAGTTCTGATCTTGCTAACCTTGTAACAGAGGAGAAGATCTACGATGTCCAGATCCAAACCTCTGTCACGAATCAAGAGTAGCATAACAGACAAAATCCTAAGGTAATTTGGGTTTACTTGCAAAGGGGAAAGATTTAGCTTGTTGAAAACATAGCAAAAGAAGGGATGCAAAGGAAACCTAAGGAGATTAAGATGGAGGAGTGAAAACAGGACCTTGCCGGGAAGAAGGCCAACACCGGTTCTAATATTCACCTCTCGGGGGCAATTTCTAATTTCTACATCGTCGGGAAGGTGAAGTTTCATACGAAGAACGTCTAGATCTACTGTCATAGTGAGAATGAATGAAGATTTCGAGGAGGAGAAAGAAGTCTTCCAAAAGAAAAATGCAAATGAAACTAACCTTAGAGAGTGAGAACGGCAAAAAGTACTGCAAGGCCACTGGAAGGAGGATCTTTTGCAAGAGATCGCCGGAGAAGATTCGAACAACAGAAAGTGAGATGGAGATGGTAAAGAGGATCGATGGAACATCTATGAAGCTTATATAGACAAGGTGAGCCCAAGGGCCGAGGAGTCAGGAAAGCGATGGGTTTTTTGAATCTCGAAACGCCGACCCCTAAATCTAACCGTCCATTCTCCCACGCAATCTTCTCGAGCCGTCAGGTTATCATTAGCAGCCTCTAATAATTACCCCCTAATCAATAAAGGGTAATTATGGGGGCAGTTGAGGATGCAGCAAGTGGCATGGGCCGGATATAGTTCGCTGAACGGGATCGGGTCGAACAATTGAAGTAAGGCCCATACCAAAGCACCCCGGAATGGACCGAACCTGAAGGATCCACCGAGGAAGATCAAGCCCCTTGGGAGATTAGGTCCAGAAGGAAGAAAACTTTTGAATATAGGCCCAATGTAATCAGTTAACAATAATAATTGTAATGGTCTATAAATAGACCATTACAGGTGGATAAGAGGGGAGAATTTTTTGGAAGAATTCTAGAGAGAGAGAGAGAAAGAAGAAGCGAATTCTTGCATCTTCAGACTTAAGCGCCCTTTGAATTTTTCAACTCAACCCTTTAATTTAAAGAATTAGACTAAAAGACTAAAATACCCCTAGAAAGTTGAAAATTTTCAAATTATATAGATACATACTGACATATACATATTACACACAGACATGTATAGCTCGACCAAAAGATTGATGAGGCGACTTTTTCTTGCTAACTTCACGGTCGAATAATCGACCGCCTAAGGCTACGAGATCGGTCGTTGGTGGTTCTTTCACATTTTCTTTTTTTTATTATTATTTATTTTATTTATTTTTTTTATTTTTATGCTCTCGAAATATATGAAACCTTAGTCGATCTACTATATATGTTATTTCCTTTTTCTATGTTTAAAAGAGAGAGTACAACGAATGGGGTATAAAGCCTCTATCACTGGTTACTCCCCATGGGCAGATCTAATGGCCAGAGTCTAAAAGATAATGTTTGATTTGATTTGGTGATCATCAATTAATGATGGAACTAATTAATTTACATGCTTTTATATATGGTTATCAACGTATCAAAAGGAACCGGAAGAAATGGATGGTAGCTCAAGAGAAGAATATCTTGGATCATTGAGAAGGTAATTAAATTCACCCATCTATATACATAACAGGAACAATATATATAGATGGTTTTGGTATTTATGTTTTAGAAAAAAAGACCCAATTAATTCGTATCTTCCCAAGAGAGATCGTGGGGGCTAGATCTCGATACGAAAGTTATATTATATAAAGTTTGACTCAACAAATGCCTCTGTCATTCCATTCTTTCTGCCCAAGCAATGCTGCATTCGATGACACCCGCTGCTTTGTAAAGTCCATGTTTGGGTTGGTAGGTGGGTGTGGGTATAATGATCATTTAGGTAATCTGATATTTTGAAATGAAAGAGATTAAAAAATTAGGGGTAAAATTGTCTTTTTTTATGTATTTAACAAAATATTTAACGAAAAGTTAGAAATGAACCTAAGTAATAGTTATTTTCGAAAAATGTTTGAAGGTGATATTTAGCCAAACCTAAAGGGATGTCAGTGAAATTAACCATTCATTAAATCTGATATCAGATAGTGAAGTTTTGATATCAGATAGTGAAATTAACTCTCTCTCGCTTGTTCCGACTTTTGTACATAATCTTGAAAACTGTCAATCATTCTCGGCAAGGATCGCCAACGACTCTTTTCTAAGATATTTTTTTTGTTCCTATGTGGTAGGTGTTATCCTGTGACAATAGGAATAATAGTTTACATTAAGTGTATTTGATGACAAAAGTTTAGGTGGGACTAAAATTTAACATTTTTATTTAGACAACATATAAATACATACGGTCACAAATTAATGATTTAATTACAATCTGTTTTTACTCAGGCGATGTGTGATTGTACAACCGAAGCTTGCCCAGTGTGGTAGTCTGCCAATACCTCGCACTCGCCCACAAGGTTGCCACAATCACCCCCTTTGGGGGCCAACGTTCTCATTGGCCACACTTTCGGTTAGGTTAGGCTTTGATACCATTTGTAACAACCCACTCCACTACATGATATGATATTGTCCGCTTTGGACCTAAGCCCACATGGTTTTGTTTTTGAGTTTTATCCCAAAAAGCCTCATACCAATTAGAGATAACACCATCACATATAAACACTTCACATTTCTCTTACCCAGGTGATATGCGATTGTGCACTCGTAGCTCGCCTAGTGTGGTAATTTGCCAGTGCCTCGCACCCGCTCACGGCGCACCCGCCCACAAGCTCACCACAATATGAAGTGGGTCGTTACAATGTTTTCAGAGCCTGACCCAGTCGAAAGTGTGGCCAACGAGAACGTTGGGCCCCGAAAGGGGGGTGATTAAGCTGTGGGAGGGTGCAAATCACTGGCAAACTATTACACTGAGCGAGTTACGAATGCACAATCCCACATTCTCTGTGTAAAGAAAAAGTGAAGTACTTATATGTAGTGGAGTAGGTCGTTACACAAGTTCTCTCCTTTTCTACCAACCCAGACTTGTTCGGCAGTTTTTCGAATGATATGAGTGTGAATATAATATATAGGCGAACCTTTATATGGAGTTTCGAAAGGTATACATCTGGTTTGCCTGATGTTGATTTATTTTCGATCCCAATTAACTCTTTCATCAATTTTCGCAATTTGTTGAAAAACTCATATTGAAGTTGATGCCATTAGTGAACAAATCTAGAAAGGTTTAGGGTTGAATATATTGTTTCTGTGAATTTTCTCCCTTTGGGCTTACTCTTTTTTTTTTTTTTTTTTTTTGTATGACTGCTTCTATTTTGGTATGAGTCATGGGATAACTTAAGACACCCATTGAGATTATTTAAATAGAAAAGGGCATTTATGAGATTGAAAAATATAAAACCAAATATTGATTGGTTTAAGGGTTTTGTTGATAATTTTTTTATTACAAAAAAATAAAAACAGAAATAAAAAAATATTGGAGTGTCTTACTATGTTGGTGGACCGCCAATAATAATACCACTAGTCTTCTCAATTAGCCCAAAATTTTAATATTTTACATTAACAAAAAGAAAATTTATTTGGACAGACTTGGGCTTTATGAAGACCTTATTGAGCTTTTGTAGGGTCTTCAACTCGAAACCCAATAACCCAAGTAGAACCCAATTCAAAACTTGTCCATCGGACCATCTCTCAAGCTAGTGTGATTATCATTCTATAGTCTCCACTGTGTACTTTGTTTTGGGCAAGTAATATTGCATTAAAAGAGTACTAATACCATTTGACAGCCATAGGCAAGCATTCAGTAGTTATGATTCATGTGAAGGTACATAATGGAGCGGGAAGCAACTTATCAATGCTCTCTTTTCTCACTAAGTTGCTTCATGTGAAGGTACATAATGGTTGGAGTAATAAATCTCATTTGATATGTTGCTTGCAATACTAAAGACTTGATCTTCAGTCTTATTATACCTTGCCCACCACATAAAAAGAAAAAGTCCATGAATGTTGGATAAAGCCCAAACCATAGGAAGGCCCTTAAATAATGGGCCAATCCAGAAAACCTAGAACATTTCTGAATTAGATTGCGAATCATTAGTTCACTGAAATGTCCTAAAAAAAATTAAAAATTAAAAATTAAAAAAAATAAAAATAAAAATCCAACTGTAAAGAGTTTGAGAATCTGTCTCATTGATCTGAGTTTCCTTGGCTTCGAGGGATTTCTATACTTGGTCCATTGATGTGTTCCTGTATAACAAAGAAATCTGATTATCTAATATCAGTAAACCAATTGAATTTTGGGTCAAATAGCCAAGTGCAATTGGCTTTTTCCTCTTCTCTATTATTTATAGGCTTTGATGGTAGCAACTAATTTCTTGTGTCATAAATTGATTTGAAATAGACATCTACTTTTAGGACTATGCCACATCAGTTTATTAAATAAAATTATAAAAGTAATGTCGTTTTAGGAGCACAAGAATAGGTGTCATCCACTAACACAGATGTCACCAACACTTTCTCCCTCAATGTTCTTCCAATCCTCTGCAAATCAATCTGGAGAGGCTCCCTATGAATTTCCTCTCTTCGTTTCTGTGACATAATTTTAGAACCCGATTTTAATTGCAACAATCTTACTTGTAAGCCTTTGTTACAAGTTATCAAATTTGTCTTGAATTTTAGGATTTTGCTTTGCTTTTTTAAAGTTATATTGTTCTCTTTTTATTTTCCTGCAAAATCTTGAGAAGGTCTGTATTTTAAATTTTGTATAAGAATTGTGTTGATAAAGTTCTTGCTTCGAAAAAAAAAATATAAAAATTGTGCATATAAAGTTGTGTTTTTATTTGGTGAATTTAAGTGCATATGGTTTTTCACTCCATAACCTAAGATAGAGTTTTCAGTCCAAAAAGAATATGAAAACCTCCTTTATACAATTATAATGGGAGTTTTCAGACCTGTGTGCAGAGAGAATGAGTTGGAGACGCCGTTAGTAGACGGTGTGTTTTCTGCACTTTTAAAACAATACCATTTTTTAAGTTTTATTCAATTTTATGATGTGGAATAATATAAGTCCTAGATATACTAAGAATGCCATGTATCAATGTCCTATTGATTCTACTTAGGATAATGAAGAGAGTTTTTAACTTAGAGGATCCTAATCTCTATTTTTATCTGTCAAACTGAATTTTATTGAACTTTAGATTCCAATTGTAAGAACCACAATTTATATTGTTAGGTGGGTGAGGTTTGGCGTTTGCATGTCCTTTAATGTTTGGCTTTTAGTCTAAACATTCTTTCAGAGGAATCTAAATCTTTACTTCCACACGATGATGTTCCATTGATGGTGATGGAAGGTAACAGTCATTTTCCAAACATGTAATGTTCTTCCTTTTGAATCAGCATTAGCATAGCAACCACCACGACGGACCTTATGTAAGAGGTCTTTTTAATTGTTTCAGGTGTATGATAAATGAAAAGTGCAAATAAGAGGGGACCAACAACTTGATAATACATTTTTTTTTTTTTTTTCTATGGTAGTGGTGTTAGTGAAGAGATAATGTTCTATATCCTTTAAAATTGTGAGACATGAGAAATTCATTTGGAGGAATGCATATATTTTGGTTCTTAGTTTTTTTAATATTTTTTTATTAATTGTTTGTAAAATGAGCTTGGTTCAAATTAGTCATATCTTACTTTTTTTATCTTAATAAAGCCTCATTTGTTGTAGCGTCGCTAAAAGCAATTATAACACATAACATATATTTTTTCATTGATTTAAACATAAAACACAGAAAAAAAAAAAAAAAATGGAGGAGGAGGAGAAGAACACTTATTAGATAGTAACGTTTATTTATTGGCCTTTTTACCAGCATGCAGACCAGCAAAGTAGATCTGAGGGTTGCTCTCAAACCCGGCCCTTGATACGTATGATCTACCACCACCACCAGGCGCCTTCATGGTTCCCCCAGGCCTTGCACCACCACTGCCCTTTGCTCCACTTCCTCCACTACCACCTTTACTGCCACCGCCGCTAACTTTGCTGCCACCACCACCATTGCCACCTTTGCCACTCATTTGGATTATGGTTAGAGTTTGTGTTTCTAATCAAATTTTGTTTTAGATTGATCAAAAAGGGTGGAGATGGAGGAGTTTATATGGAAAGGATTTAGACAAGCTCTGAAGTTAAGAATTGCAATTGATTCCATGAGTGCACTCAAAGCATGGGATCCATACTTTTTCAATAATAATAGTATTGATTCCATGACAAGATGTTTAGAATAATAGAATTGGATTCCTGATAAGAATCATAAGACGTTTAGACTTTGTGGAATACGAAACATCACTTTTAATTACTGTGGACTAAAAATTTTTAAAGGGACATGTTTGTGTTGTTTTCTTAAAAAGTTACTTACAATTTTAAGTTATGAATATTTAAGTTTGAAATTTTAAACTTCAAAGACATATATAAAAAAATATAAAATATATTATTTGAAAAAGGAAAGTGAATATTTATTTTGGACAGTTCAAAAAGAAAAGATGAACATTTTTTTTGTGACAAAGAGAGTAATATTCAAATTAAGTTGGACCATCCTCATTAATTACTTGTATCACTTCACTTTGTTTAATAGATTAAAACGCTAGATTATATGGATGTTGCCCTTTTGTAATATATATATATATATATATATATATATATTGAACAGAATTGACCTTTTATATTCACCTTTGCTAAATGGAATGCTTGTTATCCTATCGCTCGTTTGGCATAGCTTTTACTTCTGCTTTTATTCCGAAGAGGAAGAGAAGCAGAAGTTAACACTTTATCTGGCTTATAATTAGTGTTTGGAAAATGTATTTTAAAAGAGCTTTTATGGATACAAAACTTTTTTTTGTTTGTTTGGCACAACATTTGATAAAGCTCTTTTACTATTAAAATAACCATTTTGTCCTTAAAATAAATATTGAGATAATTAATAAGTCATCAAAATAAATATGCAAAGCAGAATTGCTACGATAGTTGTTTAAATAAGTTACTCTCACCATAATCAAAAATTGATATCTGCAGACAACTTATCATTAATTTATATTTTTAGAAAACAATCTTAATTTTTTAATGATAAATAAGGATAAATCGGCCAAAGGCATGAATGAGGCTGCCAATGTTGAGTCTGAATACAAGCACTAGGATCTAACAAAGTTGCAGCAAACATGTTAACTAGATGAACTCATGTAAATGAAAAACTGCTCTATCCATTATAGCAACTGGATCCCATAAAAGTCCACATAAAACCTCTGATAAACTATTATATCCATTATATTCCTTCTTTTCCAAATCTGCCAAGAAATAGAATATGCAAGACTAAACAATTTGGTAGATGCTGGAACACCACTCCATATTATTACTCAACCATTCCCACTTTTGATATCAAGCACCATCACAACTGTCAACATTTAGCCTAAGTGGTGTGAATCTAAAACTATATTGAAAAGAAATTCAATTCACTATTCTTTCTGTTAATAGTTATTTCTTCAAACAGGTGGTGGGAAGTGAGAAGAAAATCAATTCACTCTTCTTTCTATTATAGTTATTTTAATCAAACAGGAGGTGGGAAATGAAAAGGAAATCAATTCACTCTTTTTTTCTATTTATATTTCTTTCATCAAACAGATGGTGTGCACCAAAAACTATAATGAAAAGAAAATCAATTGCCATTGACATGGTCTCTAAAGTGGATCGATTGTTATCAAGAACCAAGCTAAACATGATGTAAGAATTTAAGAAATAGGAAAAATAATAATGTAGAAAAAATCCTAATGTGAAGTTAAGAATTCAAAATCATAATAGTCTACCTGTATAAACCAAACTCGAACATATTTTAAATCTGACTTCATCAATTTAACACTAGAAAATTCAGAAAGGCATTTCAATTTCATGTTTGTAGCCGATATGAGAATATTGTGGCCGGAATACAAGACATAATCACCGGAATCATTAGAAATAGTCGAGTGAGAAAATTATTGCCGGTGTCGACAGAGAATCAACGGAATCGTGAGAAACTAGGCAGCGTGAGCAAAACATTGATGTCTTCAAGAGAGAATCGCCTAAATTAAACAAAAAAGCATTGCCGAAGTTGGTGACAGGCTATTCTCCCAAATTTGTGGTTGTGGATGGTCATCCGTCCCAAGCGAATGCCGTCAGTGGATGTGAGCGTTGATGCTATCGTTGGAAAAAGCTTAGAACGGAAGATTAAAAGAAATCACCGGAGAAGACAAGAGCAGAAACCTAGAGGATAAATTCATGAATTGGCATCAATGGCAAGGGTTTTGCTTGGGACATGATTGGAATAAGCATTTGTTTACTCATAAAACAAAGGGCACGATGGGAATTATAAAAGTTTCTTTAAAATAAGAAACGGCTTCCCGTGTCTCTCTTGGAAGCGTGTTTTCCAAGCTACACCCTACCAGCTTCGCCTAGAAGAGCTTAAAAATGTCAAAAGCTCTTCAGCTAAGTAATTCAAACACCTCTGAAAACAGCTTCTGAACTTTGAAAGTCAAAAGTAACGTTTGAAAAGTCAATTCAAATAAGTCCGAAGTGTCAAATACGAGCTCCAAAATAACTTTTTTATTTTTTATTTTTACCTGGCAAGTAAGACTAGGGAAAAATGGAATGAGTCGACTCGTCACATGACTCGGGGGCTACCCAACTCATCCTTACAATCCGAATAAATTGCTAGTGAATTTTTAGTAGGCTCAAGCTATCATCCAATTAAATATTATATTTTTAAACTTATCAATATATATATATATATATATACTTTTATATATTTCTAAAACAAAATGAATACTCACTTTAAACAAAGGACTTTTCATTTTTTGTCATTTAGCTACCTAAGTTGCTTTTCCTAATTTTTTTTTTTTAAAAAGAAATTAAAGCAAACATAACCATTACCCATTGTTGATGCAGGATTCTGTGACGACCTGAAGCGACGTCGTACCTGGAATAGAAAGGAGAAAAAATGTAATCGATTGGGAAGACACCAGTGTAGTACCGGCCTAAGAGCCTCCGACGATCAAGTTAGTGTTAGATCGGTAAAGGAGGGAGAGAGAGTGGTATTGCCTAGGGATTTGTGTCATACATTTTTTATTAACCCGAACTCTCTCTTTATAAAGGCTTTAAGTTGCATTAAAATAGGAGTGTTACACCTTTTACTTCTCCAACACGGATGGGGAACTTCTGCTCATCTTTATCTAAGGCACTGGAGCTTATCGTATTTTATAGACTTTGTATGACGGTCAAACTTCCTAGGTGAAGACTCCTTATCAGTTGTCCCCCATTCTCATGTTTGCATGCTGAACTTAGAGAATGTAAATATTTATATCTTCAATTATCCTTCACCCTGAATTACCAAATACTGTAAAAAAATATTAAATAATGACATATTTTATAAACTGGGTCAATTAGTAGGGATAGTGTATATATATTTTATTTGCTGAATGTAGCCCATTTGGTTAGGCTCTCACACTTATATGCTAAGGGTCCAGGGTTCAAACCTTCCCCTTAATTAGCACCAAAAATCTCCTTTTAATTAAAGGAGAAAGCATGTAGTGGCATGCTGCCACATGGAGATGTCAGAGGCTGCCACGTAGGGAAGCGAAACTGTCATCCTGCGATGCCGGAGACTGCCATGTGGCGACGCCGGAGGCTGCCACGTGGCGACGCCGGAGGGTGCTACGTGGTGAGGTGTGGCAGGCAACATGAATCAACTTTCATTGGCTGGTAGCTTCTTAAAATTCTATATATATAAACAATGGTAGTAGGCAGCAGAAGAGTACAAATAAGATAGAATCATTTACCTGCTATCTATAAAGTAAAAATAAAGTCCTAACTATCTGTAAAAGCAATCAAGGCTGTAAATCAAATGGCCAAATAAAAATAAATATAGAGCCTTATATCTATTTGCTATCTGTTGTAAAAGCAATTAAGGCAGCTGTAAATCAAATGGTTATCTCTTTCTTCTTAGCTGCTCTGATTGTGAACAGAAAATACTTGTCATCGAAACGATCCTGGAACTGAGCGTATATCAGTGTGGTCCTCTCCTACAAACTTAAAAGTAGCAAGCATCTATTTCTGAACCTCTATGTACTCCACCATATGAAGATGAAGCTCCATATCTGTGATACCCCTCGATTCTAGAGCCACAGGTGATCAAGTCCGAGCACAGATCCGAGGGATACCAAATAATCAATATGTAAATAAGCACATAATACAAATATGAAATAAGAATAAAATAATAATACGCTGAAAGAACTCTAAATTAAAAATCCTTAAAAATTAGATAATAAATTCCCAACTTCCCAATATCTGTACGACTCGAGAATCCATCTAGTAGACCTCTATTCAATCCCAAACTGAAAAGTAATACAACTAAAATAAAAATACAAAGCTAAACATGGAAAGCAGTCCTACATAGTCGGAGGAGTGAGTGTCTATATCTGCTCGGCACGATCAAGCTTTAAGCTTAGAACTTGCGAACACCAAAAAAATAAGGGAGTGGGTCAGGCCCACATGCAAGTCCTATCCTACTACAATCCATACAGAAACCCGATACGCAGATACATCCTAGATAGCTCAACAATAACTAAAGTAGTCCATATATGTATATATATACACACTATAGGACATTCACTAGACTATAGTGTAGTTTCAGCCGGAATAGAATGTAACATGCAAATCGCACGTAACGTGGTCATGTATACCTAGACTCACCAGGGAACAACAACTATGTCCAGTTATTCATCCTAGGCGATATACCCACCCTACCCATGATCATGAGACTCAAGCTCATATCACGGCACCATAAAGATATATATATATAAAGTCCATTCAAAGTATGTCAAATGTTTATTGACCTGACATTTATATAAGTAGGACTTAACTTTTATAGTTAATCCATCTTATTTCATAATAGGTAGGACTTAGTGTTTTGAACTAATTCGTCCCTAATATTTGTAGGTCTTAGTGTTTTGAACTAAGCCATCCCTAATATGCCACCGTCCCATACCGGTGCATATAC